CTTTGACACTGTCATGAAAACACAGCTTTCTCATAAAGCTACACTCAACATGTGAACCCCACAGAAAACAGCAAGTCTGTGGTGTTGGAAATGACAGACAAGTTGTATAATTATTTTTTAAAAAATAAAACCACACGTGGGAAAGCACTGATACAGCAACAACCAAACACTACAAGAATTATAGGCTTACAAAGATATGTCTCAGGCTAATCCCCAAAAACAAACACTTGCATTCCAAAATATTTGATAATTTAACACACTAGGGACTGAACTGTGACAAGCCCTAAAAATAATTCAAACTACTGCCCTTAAAATAAAAAACTGCATGTTATCGACTTCCTCTGTATTGAATTTTTCCCTTTCTGAAAGGAAAGCTACCCTTATCACTGTGACTAGCATAGCCTAATAAAATCAAATGACATAAATACTGTTGTTGGCAAGCACAACATTCCAGCTGCCATTTCATCTTGTAGTTACCTTAAAAAAAAATAAGTCAAAGAAATAGTTATCTCAGAACCAGTTTCAATAGTAGTTAAAAAGACAGACTTATTGCCAAGTTATTTCTAAACTCATTCTTACTTCATCCAAAAAGAGCAGGCACAATGCTTTGCTATTAATGGTTGACTTGAAAAATACTATGCTGCCCAGCCTTTAAGAGAAATAAAATGAAGAGAAAAGCATTAGCAGTTTTGCTTACAACCTAAAACATTACCATATAAAAAAATGCAAACATCCAGACTTACGTGGGTGTTCAGACGATATGACATGAGTTCAAACTCTCCATCAGGTGGAATGAAAGAAATCGTCCTGTCGTTTTCAAAGCGAGAGAGACGAACACACTGGTGAAACTTCACATCTTCCAGTTCTACTGATTTACTTTTGCCACCTAGCAGAAAATACACAGTTCAGGGTGCTACACAAATTATATCCAAAGCCTCACTACAGCCAATTACACAGCAAAACTGTTGTCTGCTGACAAGCCTCCCTTCTAGCCAATCTTTTATTTAGCTTGCTCTAGGTTTTTAGGACTACAGAAGTCCCAGCAAAAGAGATGAGGAAGCCTAGAGGGTCACCGTGCATTGCCACAGTATTCCATCTTTGCTTGCTACTTCCAAACAAGACCTCACGTGGTTTTCTGCACTGATAAAAGGAATATTTATGTCATCTTAGATCAAATCCTTTCAGCTGAACCTCAAGCATCCCAAAAACCTAAGACTTTGGATAACATCTTTCATGATTACTGAGATATCACCAAAATACTCACGGCCTGTATTATCAAAGAGAACTTTGTCGTTTAAACCCAGGC